ATTTAACATAATTAAGAACTACAAAGAGATATTTATTTATAGGCTAAACTATCCTCTTTTCTTTCTACTAGGAATTTAATTCCCACTAAGAAGTTGAATCCCATTAACATTTTCACTTGGCATTAAATTATTTCTAGCATTAAGCTCCCATTTACCTACTAACCATCATAATGGTTTAGGAAGTCTAAAAACACTAAAAAAACGTCTTAGAAAAACTAAAAGTCAATTAAACTTATTCAAATAAAATGAAAACAAAAATTACACTTAAAGTAAGATAATAGGCTTAATTAATCATTTCATCCAAAAAAAAATTGAGTAACCCACCCAAATAAAGTCCAATTGACAAATGCATCTTTAGTGTTGGATTTTGGATTCATGAAGCTCTCAAAATTATTGCTTTTAAGATTACTAAAATTAAATTATCTTAGGTGCACAAATGTGATACTCCTTAGATTGGACTATACTTTACACAAATCTTCTTTAAATAACTATGATTTGAAAAGTTTCTTTAATTCTTTTAGCTCTTGCTTTAATCAACAGGTCTTCCATCCATTAAAAATAATATTTGAAATTATTTTATCTTGACATATTTCATAGATTGGACTCTATTTTACATTAATCATTTTAATTTATTTCTTGGATGTGATATTTCTTTGATTGGACTCTACTTTACATAAATCATTTTAATTTTTAAAAATATATATTTTTAATTTGTTTTGTAACTTATTTCATGATTTTATAATTTCATTTATATTTACTTTGTGTTATAATATAATCATGTTATTTAAAGAATATTAATATTTGTTTTGTAATTATTAAGACAATTATAATTTGTGTTGTGGAAAGCCTAATAGTAAATACTTTTGATTGATAGAAAAAGACTTTTAAGAATTTGTAATTTAATATTTTTGTGTTGTAATTTTAAAGTTAAATGACAAATTTATGCTATAGATCCTTTAATTAAAATTGTCAACTACTATAAAAAAAAGGTAATTTTTTTTTTTAAATTTGAATTAATGATTAAAAAATTTTCAGTTTTGGCAACCTACCAACATTTTTGACACACTTTTAACAAGAAGATAGCCCATTTTACTCTACCCATTTTTGGTGGACTAGTGATGGAAAAGGCCAAAACTTGATACATCGATCCATTTTATTACCCCTAAATATGTACTTTTTTGTTCACCATCATATTTATCTTGTCCTTAGAGTCATATGATTTACCATCTAAACTTCATTTTATTTCATTTCTCCCTCTCCCTCCTTATAATATTATTCATTTTTCACTACTAGAAAAGTGTCATTTTCCTGCGAATTTTCTTACAAAAAACTATTCGTAGAAATTTTTTATGAATTTTCTTGCAATAATAATTTCACAATTTTTTTTATGAATTTATTTGCAAATTTTTTTTTACAGATATTCCTTACAAGATTTTTTATGAAAAATAATCTACAAGAAATGTTTGCAAATTTTTCTACAATTTTAATGATCATAGAAATTTTTTTCCATGGTAAAAATTTCCAGAAAATATTACAATAATTTTATTTTATTTCTTGCAGATTTTCTTGTGTCGCAACCCGAAAATTTCCAATCTCACAACTAATGGTTTAGACATCCTTTTAAAGATCTCATCAATTAAGGAATGCCCGGACACTAGACTAATCCTTAATTAATGGTTTTGAAAAAATGAGTTCATGGAGTCGCCACCAATGTTTTACTCAAAACATTGGAAAAAGGAAAGGTTTTTAAAAATCCAATAATGGCCTTGATAACCAGAATTGGGTTCGGGGGTCGATTACGTGTAGGGAAGGTATTAAGCACCCCTACAACGCCCTCAATTGGTACCCTATGATGAAGTTAGCGCTATAAACAATAATAATGTAAATATTAAATCTCCATTTATTGATGACTATTTACATGTTTAAAATTTAAATTATACGACTAACCTAAAATATCTACATGATTGCGCTTGTTATAAATAAAAGATAGAGATAACGATGAGAAATAAAATATAGAAGAAGATTGATTAAAATACCTCTTGAACGAGCTTCTATTGGATCTTCAAATATGGAGAAGGTGCTTTATGGCAACCTTTCACACTACAATATGCCTCACAAATCTCAAGAAATACAGTAGGAGGGAGAGAGAGAGAAATTTCGTGCTCTAAGGAGTCTTGGACGAAATTTTTAAGGACTCTGAGAAATGAGCCCAAGCTGTCTATTTATAGACTTAAAAAAGTGTCTAGAACGGCCCGTTCCAGAGATAAGATTAACATGTCATTTGGTATACTAGAACGGGCGTTCCAAACAAGGATCTTTAGGCTCTTTTATAACTTGGAACGGCCCGTTCCAGAGATAAGATTAACATGTCATTTGGTATACTAGAACGGGCGTTCCAAACAAGGATCTTTAGGCTCTTTTATAACTTGGAACGGCCCGTTCTAGTTAAAGTTTTAGCCCTCTTTTGAAGAGTTTGGAACGGCCTGTTCCAATCTTGGAACGACCCGTTCCAAATTGGGAACGACCCGTTTCAGTTTTGGAATAGCCCGTTCCAGTCTTCTAAAATTAGCTTATTTGGGCTTTTGGGCCTTCTAAAATCCTATTTTGTTGTTTGCATGCTTCGGGAGCTCCTTCCCTTCATAACAGAGGTCCATTCTCTTGTTTGTATTAGGGATGGAAAAACGGGCCAGCCCGACCCGTTTTGGCCCGGCCCGCCAATGTAAAACGGGCTGGAGATGTTGGCCCGCCCCGCCTAAGGGTGGGCTGGCAGGCTGGCAAAAAAAAAAAAAAAAGGAAAAAAAATTATTTTATGGTTAAATAAATTTTTTTTTGCTACAAATAAATAAATATAATCATATGAAATTAAAAATACATACATATTGTACTTAATATATGTTCAACAAAAACAAATTACAAACTTAAAACAAAATCAAATAGAAATTAGTCCATTTACACCAAAATCAAAACCAAATTATAAACTTACAAATTATTTATACACTAAATTTTTTGATAGTCCACAAAACAAGTTTAAATATAATTAATTAACTTTAAATTTTTATTTTAAGAATATTAGAAGCTCTCTTGAAAGAAGATGTCTCTACTTTTTTTCTTAATCATCTTCATCCTCATCTTCTACATCAAAATAAAATAAACATAAAAATAATTAAATTAAAAAATATATATATATGCGGGCCGGCGGGTTGTGGCGGGCCGGCCCGCTATTTGGCCCGGCGGGTTGGCCCGCTATTTGAAAAAATTTTTAATATTTTTGCCATCTCTACCTATTTCTATATCAGCTTTAAGTAATGAGTTTGCTATTAAAAATATAGAATTTAATTAGAATATAGCAAAAGTTAACGGGCCGGCCCGCGGGCCATGGCCCACTTTGCCATCTCTAGTTTGTATGCCCCCGGACGAAATTGGGTGTCTACATCTTGCAAAAATAAATTCGCAAGAAATGTTTACTAAATGGTAGAAAAATTTCACAGATAACTTTTCCTATGGATTTTCCTGCCAATTTTAATTTGCAGGAAAAATCAAAAAAATATTTAAATTTATAAGTTTAATATTTTAAAAAAATTTAAAGTCCCACATTAGGGATGGCAATGGGGCCCCATGGGGCGGGTAATAGTAAACCCGTCCCCGCCCGACTGTATGAAAATTGGCCCCATACCCACCCCATATCCACGCAGGTATCCATTAAGCGGGTATCCATGAATTTCTTGAATACCCACGGATATCCATGGATATTTATAATTTTTTTAAAAATTAAAAAAATTATATTACAAATAATTTTAAATTATATTTAATGTCATTGAAATATTAAAAATAAAAATTCAATTTTAATTTTAAATTTGTATTTAATGTTAATTCTGTTGAAATAATAATAATAATGCAAGATAATCAATAACTTAAAATACATTAATCTTACACAAGTAAGTGAAAGTCTCATATCACAAAACTACAATAATTAAATCTCGTAATTCCAAACGTAAGTAAATAACTTAAAATACATAAATCTTATTAGTTCAATCAAAGCTAGAAACATAATCAAATTACATCCAACATAATTCTATGTAAAGAAAATAAGATGAGATTGTAGTTTTAGGGTTATGTGGTACAAGAGTAATTAGAATATTTAATAAATATTATTAAACGAGTACCCGCGGGTATGGATATCATCATGCCGGCCCCCGCCCCATTTATAAACGGGTAAAAATTATTCGTCCCCATTGTTCGCAGGTACCCAATTAGCCTATCCATTAATTATCCGTAGCAGATTTTACCCACAAATACCCGCGAGTGCTGGTATTTTTGCCATCCCTATCCCACATCGATTGCAAATAAAATAATTAAAGAATATATAAGTTGGGGTAACATTTACCTTACAAGTTGATTTGTATGGTTGAGTGTTAGACTTACAATTTACAATCTTAGAGTTTAAAAGATTATGTATCACATGTTGGAGGCGTGGAAACAAATGTTTCGGATGAATTCATTATGAGCATTTAAAAGTTGAATTATTGATACAATTTTTTAGTAATTTCTTTAATTTTTTTTCATAAAAAATATTCCTGCAGAATTTCTTGTAAAAAAATTTGCAGAAAACTTTCTTGCAAATTTTTTTTGTAGGAAACTTTCTTGCAAATTTTTTTTGCAAGAAATTTCACAAGAAAATTTCTTGTAAATTTTAAAATTTGCAAAAATATATTATCCACGAAAATATTACCTGCTAGTAAAATTTCGAAGAAAAACTCGTAGGAATAATATTTGCTGCAAATTTTAATACAAAATTTACAAAAAAGTTACATGTAATAAGAGAAATTCTAGTAATGTCTCTATTTATTTCTTTTATCAAATCATATCAATAAGTTTTTTTTTTCATTTGTCACGAGATTTTTTTTTTCTTAAAATAAAATGAACACAATAACCAGAAAAGACAAAAAGACACAATGTTAACCCAAAACTTAATTTGTTCAAAAGGGACTTAAAAGTTACAATACGGTGGTGAGTTGGCATATTTATCTTCTCCTTCGACTGTAACAAAGGGAAGGACCTTAGGCAATGGATTCAACACCAGCGAACCTGAAATCATCACTTTCAGTTCCAAGTGTTCAAGAGTTAGCATCTCAACGGCCAGAGAGAGTGCCAGCAAGGTACATAAGAGATCAAGATGGGGATGACATCATTGCCACCTACCCTTTTGATCCATCTCTTCATGTACCCTTCATAGACATGGCCAAGTTGGTCAACGCAGACACACAACAACACGAGCTTCAAAAGCTTCACCTTGCATGCAAAGACTGGGGTGTTTTTCAGGTACCACATAGACACTAGTTATTAATTCTTGTTTTCAATTACTTCATGTGTGTCAAAATTTTTTATGCTTTTGGGCATTCCT